CGGCCACTGCACTCCAGTCTGGGCGACCGAGTGAGACTCCAACTCAAAAAAAAAAAAATGCAAACCCAGGTCTATCTGACTTACAAAAGCTGTACTACTTCTCTTCCACCCTAGATCAGTCTTCAGGAAATTGTCAAAAAAACCAGTACTTGAAAGGCCGTATTTTGTGTCAATGTTAATACTCAGACCATATGCTTTAAAAGAACACCTGCTTTTACCCACGTGGCTTCTTCCGGTGGGAAGACCCTCTCTCTACACACTGGCAACTGCTTCTCACCTGTCCTTATAAGTCCTAGGACACAGAGGGCTCTGGACAGGTGCTTGCCAAGTATTTATTGACATGAAGATCTACTCGTGAACATGCTCACTGCAGAAGTGCATCATATATCAGGGTTTGATGTTTAATTGTGTTGCCAGTTTTCATTTCAAATAGGCAGATAATCACCTGCGCATTTAGAAAACTAACTATCACCCAGTGTTTATCCATCAGTCATAGGACCTCTAAAAGGCTCCTTAAAATTGTGCGGGTGCACCTAGCACCCACGTCGACTCAAAGTAGTTAGAACCAGTATCACTGATTACTCTAGAATAAAATGGAAAACAACACATTAATGCTGGGGTCCCCAACCCCTGGGGTCCATGTGGCCTGTTGGCAACCGGGTGCAGAGCAGGAAGTGAGCTGCGGGTCCAGCCAGCGAAGCTTCATCTGTATTTACAGTAGCTCCCCATTGCTGGCATTACCGCCTGAGCTCCACCTCCTGCCAGATGGGAGGCCGCATTAGATTCTCGTAGGAGTGCGAACCCTATTGTGAACTGAGCGTGCAAGGGATCTAGGTTGCGACTCCATAGTGAGAATCTAAAGCCTGATGATCTGAGCTGAGGTGGTGATGCGAGTGTTGAGGAGTGGCTGCAAATACAGAGGAACGCGAGCAGTGAGGTTTGACTGCCCAGAGACCATCATAAATCAGTTGCTTGCAGACTCATATGAAAGCCCTGTCCGTGAGTTGATGCGCTTCAGTGGTACAGTTGCATCTGGTGGCAGGCTTGACATCAGAATCCGACACTTACTTTAGTCCATGTATGGCCTGCCTGTTATTCTATTTACCACTTCTGTCTGTGCCTCTTTTTTCTTTATGGTGAGTCGTATAGTTATTTCATCAAATATTACAACATAATAACAACAAAGTGCACAATCCATGTTATGGTGCTTCAATCATCCCCAAACCATGCCCCACCCTGATCCATGGAAAAACCGTCTCTCACAAAACCGGTCCATGATGCCACAAAGGTTGGGGACTGCTGCTTTGATGGGCACGATACCTGCTGCTTTTAACGTAATCAAACGCCATCATGGTCAAATTAATTGATATGCATAGGAACTTATGGGCCACCCCAGAGAGGGGAAGAACTCTGAGTATCCCATGCTTGCTAGGTGAGACGTGTGAGACGTGCCCAGTCACACTGAGTGAAGCAGGGAGCCCGCTCAAGGCCACTGACTAAAGCCTGTGTTTCAGGTACTCACACCGAGGCTGCCTTTGCAGTGGGGTATGCGAGACACATACATTGCATGTGGCATGGGCTCAAACAATGCTAGCGCTCAAGATTCAGTTATCTCGTTTTACTGACGAGGGTAGAGCTCCAGAGGAAAACTATGGCTTGAGTCTCCCGACTCTTGGCCCACAGACCTTTCCTATGCCTTCTAGGACCGTATCTCATTCTAGAGATTGGAAACCTGTCCCATAAAGGACCATTAAGAACTTGCAGAACTGCAATCTCCAACAGAAAAAAAAAATGACATTTCAACCCAGAAGGGCCTAGATTTGAGCACCAAGGCCGAACGTCCTCAGGACAAGTCTGAAATAATGGCAGCCACCTTAAGACCGTCCAGGATGCTTTTTAATCCAAATCTTTAAAGTGAGAAGACAGCCAGCTGAAAAGTTCCACTCATCCCTGTCGAGGGCTGCAGCAAAGGGGCGGTGGAGGAAAAGAACCACAGGCAGTTGGTGGGAGGGATGACGCAATGGTTGTCTAATTGTGAAGGCAGGACATACGATGGGCAGGGACACACAGACCAGAGGCGCTCTGGAGGTAAGAGGGATTCCCAGGACTTGGCTCCACCCAGACGGAGTCAAAACTCCCTCGAGCAGGTAGGAGTTAACCCTGCCCTCTTTCCTGCAGATCCCACGCCAGTCCCATAATCCTTCACTCCAAGTACACTGAGACCAGAGTTGGCAGAGAAGACGCCCATCACTCTCTCTGGGCTATGTGAGGGGCAGGGTCAGGCCTGAGGCTGAATCCCTGCTGGTCGTAGAGCTGGCTTCTTATATCGCCCTGAGCACTGGGTTTCTACCATGTGAGGGTCTCTGATAAACCTGCGTTCGTAACTAGGGAGGGCCGGGACGGTAAGTATTTTAGCCTCTGAGGGCCACATATCTGCTGCCACTAGTCGATTCTGTTGTAGTGTGAGAGAGGAATTCTAAATAAAGTATAAGTCAGTGAGGCAATGTTCCAATAAAATTTTATTTATGAACAATGGAATTTGATTTCATATACTTTTCTCATGCCACAAAATATTCTTTTGATTTTTGTCAACCCTTTTAAAAACCATTCTTAGCTTACAGGCTGTACAAAGCACAGATGGCAGGTGAACTCCAGCCGGTTTGCTAACACCCAGACTAGAGTTCGAGGTTTCCACTTGATCTTCAACATGCAGAGTTTGAACTCTGGTAATGGCAGAGGCCACAGCAGCGTCACGACCTCCATTCCAGCAGTGTCATGATTGTTCTTGCGAGCTAGTCACTCCATTCAAGCATTCACTTTGGCCCTTCTCCAAATCTGGGTGCTGTGAACAACCCTTCCTTGGCACTGACAGAAAATCGGACGCAGCTCTTGTCCAAGTCCGCGCACCATATCTGCAGTCTCCAGACATGACACCTCTCATTGAATTAGACAAGACATCCACTAGCACAGTTAAGTACTGGAGATGTTTACAAAGTACTTGTGCCTGATTCTTAGGGCTGCCAAAACAAATCACCACGAACCGGGTGGCTTAGAACGACAGAAACTTTTTCTCTCAAGGCCAAACCTGGGGTCTGAAGTCAAGATATTGGCAGGGTTGGTTCCTTCTGGAGTCTGAACCAACCCCCTGCCTCTCTCCGAGCTTCTAGTGGCTTCCAGCGGTTCTCACAGTTCCCTGGTGGATGGGTGCATCGGTCAATCTCTTCCCTAGCTTTACGGGGCCCTCTGCTCTGTGTGCCTCTGCTGTGTTTTCCTTCTTTTCCCTTCTAAGGACTTGCCATTGAACTTGGGGCCCACCCTAATCCAGATAATCACATCTCCAGATCCTTCATTTCATCTGCAAACCCCCTTTTTCCAAGTAAGGTCATATTTACAGATTCCAGGTGGATGTATCTTTTCGGGAGCCACCATTTGACCCATGGCAATATCCCCAGAAGAGGCCTAGAAATACGTGGTCGGTGTTATCCACAGGGCTTCACGAAGGAGGGTAACACCAGCTCACAGCTGGGAGATGGGGGCTGGTGTTCATCAGGGAAGGTCAGGTCCAGGGACCAGCCAGAACAACCATGGATGTGACCCCAGGGAACAATCTGCACAGCAGCAGCTGCGCCTGGCTGGAGGAAGCTGGAGGACGGTGTGAAGCGGAGGAGCAGCAAACAGGAGGCCGGGAGGCTGGCAGAGATGCTATCGTGAAGGCTGCATGTGCCTCGACTGGCTCGACGGATTTAGAAGGTTCTGACTGAGGCTTCGGCGACTCTCTTCCATCGTAACCGTCTCACTGACCTCTCGCCTGGCTGGACTACACAACCTCTACGCAACTCGTCCAACTCCACAACCTCCAACCGTGAGAATAAACCTCATGATCTTAAGCTACAGTGAGCTCACGGCCGCCTGTGTACTCCGGGGAAGCCCCTCCTGGGCTCACGCTCGACCCCTCTGCGCTCCGTCCTGCCACCTCCCTCTCGCTCCCGGCAACCCAGAAGCAAGCAAGGGTGTGGTCCGCCATCTGTGACCACGTCCATCCAGGGTAAATGAATCAGCAGTGAAAAGTTGACGACAAGATCACTGGTCTCATTACACTCGGCAAAATCTTAAAAGCAATTAAAATTAAGCACACGGACAAGGATGAAGAAAATACTACTGAGAAGACCCAGCTCTCCCCTAAAAGAAGGGAAAACGATGTCCTAGGTATAAGCATTCCATAAAAACGTTCATGGGGAAATTCCCAACGCCCAACAACAAAACATCAGTAAACCAAGCCACACTTAGAAAAATGAAAGCTGATTTTTATTTTATCATCAACAGCCATTCTTTAAACATGAACATGCATACGTAATATTCTACGCACACATCACAGTTTTTAACGTTAGTTAATAAAGGTTAAACACACAACATACATCCTTACAAAAAAAGTCAAAATGCAAACTTAAAACTTTAAACAAAAGTCTTACTAATTTAAAAAAAGTTTGTGTTGGGTACCATTTGTACAACACGGTTAATTTAAACATTTCATTTTGGCTGCACATGAGAAAAGCGGCAGTAGAAAACAAAGTCGTGGAGGGTTTTTAAATAGCAGAAGAGGCAGTTTTGCCATGCAGGAGAAGCAATATTAAATATTAGTTTCAAAAAAAATCCACATTTAAAAATATTTAGTTCAAGTCACAGAATTTTTCTCAGCAGAGACCCCAATGCAATGCATAATTAGCTGCCTCAGTGGCTTGTGGAAGGGACAAGATCCAAGATCCCTTCAGAGTGAAACTTTACTGATTTTGGCACAGAAAAGAAGTCTTAAGAACAAGAACATGATTAAAAAAGAGGGAAGAGGAACAGAGGAAAGAAAGAAAAGCAAGAATAAATGAGATAGGAATTGCAATCACTAAAAAACTGTGCATTCTCAGTCACTGCAGAATACTGTCTTCTGTCTCCAGCAGGTGCTTATTCCAGAACTGTTATTGCAGCATGGATTTAATTTGCTTGGAGGTAGTCTCATCATTCAAATGTTTTGTTGTGTACCTTAAACATTAAAGAGAGACTCATTTTAGGGGATTTAACAAGCATCTACATCAAGTCAATTATGACATGATGAGAAACTGGTCACAGAAACCTCCTCTCACAGCGTCGTGCCTTTCCGTTGCGGCTTTAGCCTGTTCAGGTTCTGCGGAGCGAGTCCACCTCCCGCCCTCCTAATGGAAGGGCCAACGGCTGATTGACTCAGTTACAGCCTCTGCCTTGCTGAAGTGACTGGGTAGCGCTCAAGGAAATAATTACATACAACTTCTTTTTTTTTTTTTTTGATTTGGAGTCTCACTCTGTCGCCCAGCTGGTGTGCAGTGGCCGCTCCCGGCCACCGCAGCCTCGACCTGCTGGGCTCCGGCGATCCTTCCTCCTCCAGCCTTCCGAGTGGCTGGAACTACAGGCATGCGCTATGACGCCCGGTTAACTTTTTTGATTTATTGTAGAGATGAGGTATTGCCAAGTTGCCCAGGCGGGTCTCGAACCCGCGGGCTCAGGCAATCCACTCACCTTAGCCTCCCAAAGGCACGGGATTACAGGCTGAGCCACTGAGCCCGGCTACCTACAACTTCTTACTCAGAGGAAACCTCTATCCCAGAGGTTTGCAAATTACAGTCCACAGGCCAAATACAACCCACCACCTATTTCTGCATGGTCTGTGACCTACGCAGATTTATATATTTACATTTTGGACGGTTACGGCCAACATCATCGATGTATGTGCAAATAACACATGCACATCTGTGGTATTACTGCCCTTACGCGTAAGAACGAAATCCTTTTCCAAGTGCACACGGCTGCTCTACTTAAGAAAAGCAGCTGTCACCTACCTTCACTCTTTCTTTTTTATTTTGAGTTGGAGTCTCACTCTGTCGCCCAGACTGGAGTGCAGTGGCCGCTCCCGGCCACCGCAACCTCGACCCGCTGGGCTCCGGCGATCCTTCCGCCTCGGCCTTCCGAGTAGCCGGAATTACAGGCATGCGCTACCACGCCCGGCTGATTTTTTGATTTATTGTAGAGATGAGGTCTCGCTGCCCAGGCGGGTCTCGAACCCGCGGGCTCAGGCAATCCACTCACCTCAGCCTCCCAAAGGCGTGGGATTACAGGCTGAGCCACCGAGCCCGGCTACCTTCACTTTTATTTATTTTTTATTTTTATTTTTTGAGCTGGAGTCTCACTCTGTCGCCCAGACTGGAGTGCAGTGGCCGCTCCCGGCCACTGCAGCCTCGATCTAGCAATGGACCCAAACTCCCAGTCTAGCTCTTTTCTCCTCCTGCCCTCTTATGATTAAAGACACTTGATTTCATTTCTCCACTTGTAAAATGCAGGCATGACTTGTTGCTTTAGCGTCTTCTTTTTTTTTTTTTTAACATGGAATGCTTCACAAATTTGCATGTCATTCTCGAACAGGAGTCATGTTAATCTTCTCCACATCGTTCCAATTTTAGTATATGTGCTGCTGAACTGAGCATACTTGTTGCTTCTTATTAGCATACTGTAAGTTGGAGTTACTGTATACATAACTATTACAGAAAAGCATTCAAAAAACAAACACATATATGCAATTACACTCCCATTTAAAATCTTCTGGTTATTAATTCCCCAAACTTACGTTCCATTTTGTAGAGATGTAAACAACACTTGCACAGTGCTTTGGGGTTACAAAACAAAGCTTTCTCAACATTTGCTCTCTGTAAAGGCCAGGCTAATACAGTTTGGGCAGTGTTGTTCAAAGCACCAGCACTATCGACAACAGCTAGGGCACTTGCTTAAAATGAAGAGGCCAGAGGTCCGACTCAGGCCCAATGAAAGAGACTCTTTGGAGGCAGTGACCTGAGAAGCTGTATTTTTCATGACCATCCAGGTGATTCTGAGTCAACCCAAGTTCAGTCACATAATAAGACTTACTAAGATGGTACCACGTACATGGGACTTCAAGAACGCAATCCTGAATTTGAAGACAAGACTGCGACACTTACTAGCTGTATAATCTTTGGTCTTTGCAGGCTTAAGGTAACATTTGTGCTTAAGGTTTAAACACCCCATCCTGGCCTACCTACCTCACAGAGATGTGGTGAAGATTAAATAAGGCAAAATACATGGAACTGCACTGCAAACGTCCAGTGACTAAAGTGCTACTAACAATAACCACCGTCCATAGCATCCAAGCAGACGGACCAACTTTACAACCTCCCCACAGTGAGAAATTAGGAAAAGACACAGAATAGAATGATCACTCTGAACAAGGACAGCCTGAACGTTCTCCACAACAAAACTTTACTTTCTAGCTTCCATCAGGCATTTGGGAAGAAAACTTGACCACACCGATGGGTGGCTCTGGCTCTCAGTGCTCCCTACCCTCCCTCTCCCCAAACACAGGGGACAGTGGGGGAGCCCTCAGCGCCATTTGCCACTCCCGGCCCCCGCCTACCTCTGCCCTGACTTCAAAGAAAAAAGAGGCCAAGCTACCCGTAAACTCTAAAATACAACAGTACATTCTGAGTTTTTAAATTAACCTTTCAGGCATACTCCCTTCAAGGTTGAAAAACAATACTAAAACCTACTAGACCTCCATTAGATAAGTTTTAACAAAAGGTTTCCTGCTGGCTTTGAAGAGTCTAAACAACCTGAAAAAAGGGACTTGGGAGAAACATCAGGCAGCCTGAGACACAGGCAGAGTTCGGAAAGGAACTCGGTGGGAAAGACACAGCATCATAAATATAGAAAAACCACTGAGATATGCATCGTGAAACACTCGACAGTAAAAATTCTAAAAACTGGGTTTATGGTGGAAATAGTTTCATATTACAAGGATTTTAAATTATGTCCCTTACTCTTTCTGATGTTCAGTTAGAACAGATCTCCTGTAATCAAACAGTCACTGCTTATATACTACATTTCATAATCTTTTTACGAACTATTTTTAGATCTTTTCCATAATCTTAATAAAAATCACTGGATAGTCCACACTCAGCTGAAACGACACAGCCTATATTCTGCTTTATGATGTAAATGTCACTATATCAATATTTCTGGGTTAATGTAATTTTTTTTTTTTTTTAGTTGGAGTCTCACTCTGTCGCCCAGACTGGAGTGCAGTGGCCGCTCCCGGCCACCGCAGCCTCCACCTGCTGGGCTCTGGCGATCCTTCCGCCTCGGCCTTCCAAGTAGCCGGAATTACAGGCATGCGCTACCATGCCTGGCTGATATTTTTATTTATTGTAGAGATGAGGTCTTGCTGCCCAGGCGGGTCTCGAACTCACGGGCTCAGGCAATCCACTCACCTCAGCCTCCCAAAGGCATGGGATTACAGGCTGAGCCACCAAGCCTGGCTCAGTTAATGTAATTTTTGTGATTAAACCCAAATAATCGAGTAACATTAGAAAATCATCTTTTATGACAGAGACATTATAGTACCAGCTAAATCTCGGTAGTTATGGTGTTTTGAAGTGCTGAGATTTTCATTTAAAAATATCCTAGCAATTTAAAAATAAATAAATAAATAAATAAAAATATTCTAGCATTCTCAGGAACTTCCATAATTTTCAACTTTATTTTCATTATAAGAAATACACAAAAACAATACAAATCTGTAGTTTTGAACAAAGAAATGTGATTATATTATATTAAGGGAAAAAAGCAGGTTGAGACACTTTGACATTATTTCGTACTGTCATGATTATCTACATGTGTAAAGAAACAACTCTGGGAGGCTATATGCCAAATGTCAATAGTAGTTTAATCTCAAAATGACTAAATTACAGGATTTAGTTTTCTTTAAATTTTCCTATGTTTTCTGAATTTTATTTATAAATAACATATATTACTTGTATTTTTTTAAAAAGCAGTCCCTATTTCAAGAGGAGCAAAAAGTAAAAGCCAAAATCTTCAACCAAGAAATGAAGCTGACATTCCAATTCATATGCACACATTTCTCAGTATAAAACATGCGCTCACCACCGGAAGCGAGAGCACCAGTAAGCAAAAGGAGACCTTCATGTTTCCAGCCTGGACAAGTATCCTCGTAACCTTTGTGCTACGCACTTTTTAAAGCATTTTCTTTACATATATACAAGTCAAACATTTCCTTACATATTTTCTACACATTCGTACACAAACACATACACACCTGAGAGCATTTAGAAGACCTTCTACACTGTTGGGAGGCTGGTCCTTAAGAACTTTGATACAACCTTTCATCTAAGAAATAAAGAAAACAGAAAAGGTAAAATATTCCTTTTTTTTTTAAACATAACATTCATTTTCAAAACAGTAAGATAAACCTGAAATAAATCAAGACCACAACTGTAAAACTCAAGAGAGTACATACTTTATGCCAAATTACTTATTCTTAGAACAGGAAAAAACCCTACATAAGTGTTATTTTCAATTTGTCAATGAAATAAACTTTTTTTTTTTGAGTTGGAGTCTCACTCTTGTCACCCAGGCTGGAGTGCAGTGGCATGCTCACGGCCACTGCAGCCTTGGCCTGCTGAGCTTAGGCGATCCTTTCACCTCAGCCTTCCAAGTAGCTAGAACCACATTAGGCTAGTTTTTGTGATTTATTGTAAAGGCAAGGTCTCACCAAGTTGCCCAGGCTGGTCTTGACCCCCCAGGCTCAGGCAATCCTCTCGCCTCGGCCTCCCAAAGTGCTGGGATTATAGGCTGAGCCACCATACCCGGCTGAAACAAACTTTTAAAAGACAATGGGTTTACTAGGAGAAGACCCAGAAAGGTGCCCACTGGGGACTTCAAGGACAGATGGGTATGCTAGCAAGGAAAAGTGGAGCTTTCCAGCTAGAAGAACCCAATGGCAAAATAAGAAAGTGTCACACACTGAGGATAGACAGGCCATGCTGGGAGTCAGAGAGAGCCTCAGAAAGTCAGGATGACGCATATGGAACTGAGATGCCAGGAAGCAGAGACTTGCTGTAGGCTATTAAAAAAGATAGTGATTTTATGAAGATGGCATTTAAGGAAGATAAGCCTGGTTATCGGGAAAAAGCATAACTTAGCAAAAAAAGCACAGAAGCACGGAAGCCAGAGAGCTGTGGGTTCAAGCTCTCACTCAACCCATCACTAGCAATTCCATTTCTTTACCTGTTAAGCTTTAGATGCTCTAACAGCAAAGGGAGCTAACACCTACACCCTGGGAGTATTTTCAGTATCAGTGGAAAAACAAACGTAAAATTCCTGGGACACACACAGTAGATGTAAACTCCTCTCTCACCCCATGCGACAGATGGGCATGCAGGTGAGAAGCGAGGCTAGCAGTCAGTGATGGAGACCCCCGAACACCCAGAGCCTAAGCCATCTGTGAGTGGGAAACCGAGGATGATTCTTGCCAAACACTGACGAACAAGATGTGAGAGGGCGAGGAGAGAAGCCACAAAGCAGAGAACCCCAAAACTACTTTGTTTCTGACACGAGCTTTTAGAGAGACAAGGAAGTGTAAACCCGACCACAGTCACATTCCGCTGATGGGGAAGGGAGCACAAACGTGAGAGGTCTTCAGCTCTTCCCTGGAGCACCACGGCTGACTTTTCGTATGCATTTGAAATAAACCTTCTCTTTGAAATGGCCTTTGGCCAAAGTAATTAAAGGACAGGACCAGAAAATTCCTTGGATCTAACAGTCTATCTATATGGCCACCTACATAGAAGGAGCTGCCAGGAGACCCTCTACAGACAGCCAGTCGTCCTCGGAGCACTCTGTTCCAACTGCGTTCTTAGCCTCAAGGACCCGGCAAGAGAACAGAGGGCCAAGGATGCCACCAGCTCACGAGCCATCCATCTGGCTTCTGGGAGACTCCAGCCGCTGCCCTCAAATAAAAGCCTATGGCTTCTAAGTAAAAAAGTGTTGGGAACACAGCAAAGCAGATGTCACTTACATCGATTTTGGAAGTTTTGGCAAATGCTCCCACTGGATGCACGTGGTCATAGAGTATTATGACGCCCACCATCACCCTCAAGCAGAACGACACCGTCTCCTCGTTTGTAAACCTGCTTCTGTATTCCCTGGAGGGCAGAAAAGATATGAATGGGAGGCGTGTCACAAGACACGTCAATGAGCTGACGCCACCTTGCCCCTCCAGTCTCTAACAGGGATGCTGACATTACGCCCGTCTCCACACTGAGATCCCCAGGGATGCTAAGCGGTGAGTGGGCCTCTCCACCCACACCTTCCGACCTCGATCTCATACACCTCAGGATGTTACCCTTCCGCTCGACGCAGAGCAGCCACCTTAGAGAAACCAGAAGGAGTCCTTAGGCAGAAGGCCAGCTGGAGGCGGGCACTAAGCAAAGGCTGTTCCCACCGATATGGTAAAAATGTCACCAGCTAAACGGAGCCAAGTTGGTCTGCTATCTAGGGGCCAGCCGGATCTAAACACACTGTTGTCTTACTGAATTTGAGTTTTACCAAAATTCTATCATACTCTGATGATGAGGAGAGTTGCCCTCCTACTTCCTAAGGTTTTCTGATAGGACAATGTGTATGACAGTGCTTTGAAAATGCCACGGAAACAAGTAATTCAGTAAAAACCATATACAGCCACATGTCACTTAATCATGGGGACAGCGCTGATATCTGTGTCATAAGGCAATCTCATCGGCGTGCAAACATCATAGAGCGACTTGTGAAAACCTAGACGGGACAGCTCACCACACACCTGGGCTTCATGGTTCAGCCTGCTGCTCTTAAGCCACACACCTGCACAGCACGCTACTGCACGGGACACCGCAGGTAGTTCAAACACAATGGCGAGAACTTGTGTATCTGACATATTTAAACAAAAGTATGGCAAGAACACGGCATAAAAGATTTAAAAACCGGTACATCTGCACAGGACACAGACCATGCACAGAGACTGCAGGGCCTGCAGTTCCCTGGATGCGTCGCTGAGCGAGTGGTGAGTGTAAAGGGCTGGGATACCACAGCCCACCACTGGAGACAGATCACAAGACCCTAGGGCTACACTAAATTTATTTCTGACATTTCTCTCTCTTTTTTTTTTTTTTTTTTTTTGAGTTGGAGTCTCACTCTGTCACCCAGACCGGAGTGCAGTGGCCGCTCCCGGCAACCACAGCCTCAACCTGCTGGGCTCCGGCGATCCTTCCGCCTCAGCCTTCCAAGTAACTGGAACTACAGGCGCGTGCTACCACGCCCAGCTAATTTTTGATTTTATTGTAGAGGTGAGGTCTCACCAAGTTGCCCAAGCGGGTCTTGATCCCGTGAGCTCAGGTAATCCAATCACCTCAGCCTCCCAAAGTGCTGGGATTACAGGCTGAGCCACCGAGCCCGGCTGACATTTTTCTCTTTTATATATCTTGCAGAAATGGAGTCTCCTTGTGTTGCCCAGGCTGGTCTCAAACTCCCAGCCTCAAGTGAACCTCCTTCCCAAAGGGCTGGGATTACAGGTGTGAGCCGCTATACCCAGCCACAAATTTTTCTTCAGGAATAAATGAGCCTTAGCTTATTGTAACTTTTTTACTTCATAAGCTTTCACATTTTAAAAAATGTTTGGACTCTTTCATAATGTGACTCTGCACTGCACTGCAACTTAGGCGACAGGAATTCTTGGCTCTGTTACAGTCTTCTGGGACCAGAAGACTCCAGGAGTCAAGAATCCAGGAGGGATTCTTCCTGCCTGCTGGCAAAAAAACCCAGCCAGAGTTGTGCATCACCAGTGCTGCAGGGACAAGAGAGATCCGGAAGGGAATCCAGGCTTGTGGTGAAAAATAAAGACTGAGAACTAATGTTGAGAGAAAAAGGGACACATACAAGCATCACCCTAGCCTGCTGGCCCAAAGGCAAGACTGCTACTACGACGGGAACGTGCGCACACTAAGCATAACCAGGGAGCTGTCGGGCTCTTCCCCTTCTCCCCCACCCCAAACCCTTCACGTTTCTGTTCGCAAGAGTCTAAGTGGGTCTGACGGTCTGCGGTGCACCAAAGACCAACTCTGCTTCCTATCGATCCAGAAGTTACATCAAGTTGCCACCGCAGCAAATGCTGAACTACCCCCTTCCAGGTAAGACATGTTGGTGTTTGAACCCATCCTGAAATTACCTCAGCCGCAAAGTGAACTGGCCCATCAGTACTCACGGTGTTTCCAGCATGACTCTGCATACACTAGCCATGGTGCTTAAACAGTCGGTCGTATTTTCTATTGGTAAATTTTTATTCTGCAGAAATATACAAAGAAAAGGAACTAATAGTTATTACTTACGTATACTTTACAACTTAGTACGAAACAAAAATTAGCAACTTGACAATCTGGTTCCTAGTCCCAGTTTTCTAAACACCGCACTAGATCCTTTTTTTTTTTTTTTTTGAGTTGGAGTTTCACTCTGTCGCCCAGACTGGAGTGCAGTGGCCTCCCGGTCACTGCAGCCTCGACCTGCTGGGCTCCGGCGATCCTTCCACCTCAGCCATCCGAGTAGCCAGAATTACAGGCATGCGCTACCACGCCCGGCTAAATTTTGATTTATTGTAGAGATGAGGTCTTACCAAGTTGCCCAGGCGGGTCTCGAACCCACGGGCTCAGACAATCCACTCACCTCAGTCTCCCAAGGCGTGGGATTACAGGCTGAGCCAGCGAGCCCGGCCACTGCACTAGATTCTAAGCACTGTCACACAGCTCTGGGGACACGGTGTGAACCGAACAGGCAAGACCAAGCTCTCCAGAAAGGTGCTTCTGCCCCCGGGGGGCGAGAACAACCTCGACCTCACAGACGGGGTCGGAGGTGCTGAGCTCGATACGCTGTGTGGCATTTGGATTTTATCCTAAGGGAACTAGGAAGTCACAGGAACCCTGAAGCGGAAGAGGGAGAGTTCGGCTCATGTTTTAAGATGCTTTTCTGGCTGCTCCAGGGAGAAAGAGGGATGGGGCAGAGGAAATCGGAGCGGTCAGGGCATGAGTGCCAAAATCCGCATGAGAAATTCCCGCGCTCTTCTGGACAGGAGCGCGAAGAGGCCCAGGTGTGAGATTCATGACCCATTCTGGAGGGCGTACCACCAAGGCCGTGAGATGGAGCAGACGCAGGGGTGAGGTGTGGAATGAACTTAGGGCGACAGTCCCTACAGCCTGCTCGCACCATGGTGCCACTAACTCAGAAAGCAAAGGCTAGACAAAGGGCAGAGGTGAAAAGCCACCCAAGAGCTCAGCCTGGGCACGCTACTGCCAAGGACCGACCGTTTCCCCAGAGGCTCTGCAGACAGGTGTGCACACACGTGGCTCAGGGAAAGCCAGGGCACCCGCATTTACGCCACGGGCTTGCTGAGATCACCAGGCCTGCAACAGGAAAAAAGTCACAATGCACAGAGCAACTTCCAGGCAATGCTTACCTCGGATACAAATTTCGTGGTGGCATCACTCAAGGTTTTCAGCATTGGAGTCGCCTCAGCATAAAACAAAGACATTCGGTTTGCCAACTCGTTATTTACTTCATTTTCTCCTTCTGCCTGTGTGGAAAGTAAAAGCACTTGTTTCAGCCCATGAATTATTAAATATGATAACATTTATTTAAAAAGAAATCAAGGCAGGGTGCCTGCCTCATTCACGCTTGTGATAATGACCTAATAAATATCTTTTTTTTTTTTTTGAGTTGGAGTCTCACTCTGTTGCCCACACTGGAGTGCAGTGGCCGCTCCCGGCCACCGCAGCCTCAACCTGCTGGGCTCCGGCGATCCTTCCACCTCAGCCTTCCAAGGAGCTGGAACTACAGGCACGCACTACCACGCCCAGTTAACTTTTTAAAAATTTATTGTAGAGATGAGGTCTTGTCAAGTTGCCCAGGCGGGTCTCGAACCCATGGGCTCAGGCAATTCACTCACCTCAGCCTCCCAAGGCACGGGATTACAGGCTGAGCCACCAAGCCCGGCCTAATAAATATCTTTAACAAATTAACATTCTAGACCATGTGTTCACAGTACTTAAATATTCCTTTGAAAATAAAAAGATAACAAATAACATTAAACGATTTTTTAAAAGATGAATAATCCTTTAGAGATTCTAAATGCTATGGAAAACAGAAGACGCTTATGAAATTGTACCCTGTCTCCATCACAAACACACAAGTATCCACCTGACTCCCACGAAAAAACACTAGGCGATAACAGAAAAGGGGGACCAGAGAAAGACTAGGCTAAACTCAAAGAATCTCAGGTGGACTCACAGAAGAGTTAGGCTACTGCAGGTGACAGGGAGCAGGTGGACAAGGCATCCAACCTGGCACACTGAAAGAGCATGCTGCCAAAGGACTGAGAAGTGGGTAGCTCAGCATATTCTGGGCACTGAGGGCTAGAAACCAGGGAAAGGCCAGGCTGGGTTAGACTGCAGAGTACCTTAAATGCCAGCTTGTGCTCATGCTACTCTTCCATGTGGAATGAGGAGACAGTTAAGAGTGTCAGAAGAAAGAAATGGCAGTTAAGTTAATTTCTGAAAGAACATTAACTGGTAATAGTGAGCAGACTGTATCCAGAAGGAGTAAGACTCCCGGTCAGAGGTGAGACATGCTGCTACAAGTGACGGCCTGAGAGCGAGGGTTGGAGTCTCCATGGGAGTGGAGGTCAGAGGAAAGCAGAGAGGGCTGGGGGAGAGATTTCACATGAAAACCATGGCCTTTACCTGAAATCACAGAAGGTAAAGAGAGGACCAAGAAGACTAACGCCTTTGGCCTTGAGTGACGGCAAGGATGGCTACGGCAGAGGACAGGGTGTTTTGCTCTTATTTTATTTTACATGAAGGGTAAAGAAAAGACTAGATGTCAAGGTCTGTTTCACACCAGGAATCGGTCTGAGTAAAACCAAACTGATGCAAAGAACCGACGTTTCATGAAGAGAAGTCTTTTCCTCCAACCCAGGCCTGTCTTGGTGCTACCACTTCATAAAATATTTATTCAAGAAAATAAAAGCACAGTCTCCTTTGCTATATTCTGTTGTGGTCTCTTCTCCATTTGCCACCCCTGACATAGTAACAGCATTTCTTTATTACGCTTTCTACTTGAAGCTAGGGTTGATCTTTTCATGCCAATTAGCACAACGTAAGTTCTCAAAATACACAGAGAACAAGATAACACTTTCTTCCTAGCAAAGTTTTTACTTAAGGTATTTCCCTCCCTGGAGGCAGAAGAGATTGACAAAGAGCTCAAGGGGAGGATGACACGAGACTAACAGCAACCAGAAGGGATGCCGCGCTGGCCAAGGAGCAGGCACAGCAGCCACTTTCTCGCACAGCCGGGGCGGGCACAGCCAACAGAGGGTCCGCAACCTCATGCCCCACTCTTGCCCGCCTCTAAATCCAGGACCGCTTCTCCCCAAGGCCCTTCCATTCTCAAACCATGGAGACAGAAATCTCGTAACCACTCGTTCACAAAACTTTTGTATAGCTAAAACAAGAACATACAGATACATTTTTACAAGCCTCGATGTTATATAGACAAGCCATTTTGTTGAAGTGGTTGTGGGAATTAAGAGACCGAGAGGAAAAACAGAATGCCATACGGTTTGCTATAGGCTGCCCTTTCCTCCACAACTGGGGCTGCCCATAATTGCTAACTCTATTACTGGCTTGAACAGCGTCTGAATGAATGAACAAATCAAAGAATAAAATGAACAGATCGAAAGCTGGGTTATTTCTACCACCCCCCAAATTCAAAGCATGAACTTACTGGTACATTATTAATCCTCATACGACTCAATGTTCTTCTATAATAGCTGAAATCATTCTGTATGGCAGGATTTGTCATCTAAAGCGAACATGTATGGAAAAAAAAGTCAGGTACTAAATGCTAATATAAAAACTTAAGTGAAAATCTAACAAATACAGCTTTAATAAGTATTAAACATTCCCTAATTTATAGTATCATTTTAAGAACAAAAACTAGTATCATTCAAAATAGCTTATAACATTGAATTGAGTCTTTACTGAACATATAAAACTACACAGACTTTTTCAGTGTCAGGGAGTATACCTTCCCTCTTCTTTTCAATAATTTCAGGTAAATACTAAAAGCCTGTTTACCAAAAAAATCGTATTATCAAATAAATAACAAAAAAGGAATATATAGGTACCTGTTTTTCATTGCTACAATGAAAGTACGTATATATATGGTCAATTGGGCAATCCTCAAACAGCCTAAAACATTACATACAAATCATGTGCACTCAAAGTTGTAACAAGAGAATTAACAGTTGTCTATAATATAATCATAAAATGTAGAGGTTAGGACTCCAGCTCTTCTATTTTCTAGACAAGGTATCTGAGATCCTGAAAAAAAACCAAAAGATCTGCCCAAGGTGTCATAGGCGGTGACTGAGGGAAACTATAAGCTGGAACTCAGGTCTCCTGATAAGAAATCTAGTGCTTATTCCTTGATACTAACTCCTTTTCACAGCAGGAGATTTTTAGTTATAAACACTATAAAGAGCGACAGAGAAAGAGAGAAAGGGAGTGAGAAGGAGAGAGAAGGGAAAAAAAGAAATTTTAACATCAAAGAATGTTGGGAAAAACGAGACGAGTAGAAAAAAATTTAAAAAGCAGCTCAATATTGTTTCAGAGATGATTTTAAAAACAAAACTAAATGTAAAATGAATACTGGGCAATTTGTTAGTTGCCAACATCAAGTTCTGAAATTCAGTTTTCCAGTTTTTTTAAGGTTCAGCAGACTTCATTGAAAGATATCTTAATAAGGTTTCCAGGCTTTTTCCCCCATTAAAATACTCCTGATTTCCGGACCAGCAGAAAATGCTACCTTGAGTTCGTCAAACCGGAGTGTGAAATGAAGAATTTCCGCGAACTGTTTAGCAAGAGCTTGCTCTCGCTCTAGGTGCTGGGTGGGAGAGTAGGGCGTGCTTGTCAAGGCTCCCAAAAGACCTCTTAATGCTGCTTCTAAAGTGGGGGGAAAAAATCGATGAAAACATTAAGCTGTATTTCTGTGATATTTGTTTAAAAAGAGAACAATCCTTAAATGTTATTTCAATTTCCGGAAAAGATCTCTTTAAAAACCAACGACCTAAATGGAATCAAGTTCAGGTCTGGCCATGCTCATGAACTGCACACACTCAAACCGAATAGAAATCTTAAAGGGACTAATTCAAGGGTTAATAATTCTATAAACCCGGATCCTAAATAATGCAGAATACAGATCTGCATTAAACACCGTGATCAAAGGGCAAGTTTTACATGACTCTCAGCCTTTCACACTGTGGGATCTGGTTTTGTGAAACCTACAACTGAGTAACTTCTTCAACGGCCTTGTGTCCACCTAGTCAAATGTGCACGTGGCTATGAATTAATTACCATACTTTGAATATGTTGTTTATTTATAAGCTTAAACTGCTTTCTTTTAGCTACTAAAGAGAACTAAATACTTGGCTTAATAAACTTCTTAAGTGTCTTAGAATTTGGCATCTCAAGACTAATATAAATTTAATTCATTACCTGAGCAAAATGGTCCCTTTGAAATAAAAGTTACTTTTGGAATGCTAGGCTAATAAATACTGTTTGAAAATGGAAATATTGACATTTCACTTCAAAAAAATCATGGAAATTAAACTAATTTAGTTACAGATTACAGAACTGAAAAACAAACCTGGAGTCTAGTCACAGAAGACAAGAAAGTACAGTGTTATAAGGTGATCTAACATAAATAAATAAATGTCAGACTAAGCAAATATTTATCAATGATAAATTTATGTCAAATCTTCAATCTATAACTTAAAAAAATACCAGCTCTGCCATTCATGAAGACGTAGGTAGGCATCAGCAGAGGAAAAACTGAGCTTCAGGAGATATGAGGGGGGACCCAAAACCCCCCGGAATTTATTTTAAAATTATGTATTTATTCTTATATGTTTAAACTTCAGTCACTCTCAAAGTACTTTCCAACTGATGCAGTGAACTTACTGAGATGCTTTTTCCACTGCTCAAAACAGTTTTTAAACGCACCCATTTTGATGCCTTTTAGTGCTTCTGCTGTTTTTTGTTTCACCTCTTCCATACTGGCAAAATGTTTCCCTTTGAGGAAAATGTCTTTCAGTCCAGGACACAAAAAAAGGGGCTCTGGGCAAGCTTCGGTGAGCAGGGAGGGTGGGGCCCAGGGGTCATGCCCTTTTTGGTTAAAAACTGCTGGACACTCAGCGCAGTGCGGGCGGGGTGCATTGTCACGGTGGAAAAACCAGTCATCTGTTTGTCACAACTTGGGACATTTACTTAGTAAATCATAATTCAACCTTCTCAAAACTTCCAGATACAAACTTGGACTGACCACTTGATCTGGAGGAATGAATTCCAAGGGCCTCACCCTCCAAAAGATAATTCTAGTTTTTTTTTTGTGGGAGGGAGGTCCTTCCTTGTGGGTTACAGCCCAATGTTATAGCTAGTGAATACCAGGTGTTTCTGACTCCAAAGCCCTTTCCTTTCTACCATAATACACCATCTCTCAAACAAAGCAACATCCTACCTGGCCTTCTACAACCTTGTAAGACATTAATCCACTGATTACCAACAAGAGTAGGTACTTTCTGTGTATCTGTTATGTGTCAGGTGCAGAGCCAGACACTTCACAGGCACCATTTGTCATCCACACAATGCCGCCAAATGACGGTTTATCCCTTTTTTTTTTAATAAGCCGGAAAACGTATTGACTGTCTACTCTGTGCCAGGCACTGGGAAAACAGACATGGACAGACATGCCCTTCTGCCCACACGAAGCTTTAGATATAGAGAGAAGAAAGACAAATTGACTGCAGGGTGACGTGTGCTAGAAAGGAGAGTGTACAGTGGAAAGATACGAAAACGACCGCACTGAAGGTTCAGGAAGAAACGGCTCCGAACAGGCGACTTCTGAACTGAGACCGGCATGTGCGTGGGACACGCAAGAGTTTGCAGACAGAAAGGCCAGGAGCGGGCCCCTGAGCCGAGCAGGGCGTGACCAGTCGAAGACCAACCGAGGCAGACAGAGAGGGTGCCGCGGAGAGTAGCCACGACTGAGACAACACACGTGTCATGTGTGCGTCACATTCAGCGCTCTGGCCTTGGCATCCTAATGTCCCTGGAGAAACCATGTAACAGGGAAGGTACATCAGATGAACGTTCTGAAAGCCCCCTTCATCTCAGTGTGGAGAACGGGCGGCAGGGGAGTGGGTGACTCACAGAGGTGTAGGGGCAGTGTGCAAAGGTCAATCAGGAGGAAAACGTTTTTGATTATTTTGAAAAAATGGTTTACTTCTTGCAAGATTCAGTCCATCTCTTGCTGTTAGCGTAAGTAGAAAGCAAAGTCTAAGAGACATAGAACAGGAAAAACTATTTTTACAAAATACGATTATAGTCTATTACTGAAAAAAGTCATTTGCATTTGCTTAGATTTTATCAAGTCTAAGGGTTAATCCCAGGACTCTAAGTGCTCCACCCCTCTGTGGGCGGAGTCAGCCATTCAGCTGAGAGGGACAGCCAGTGACCAGTAGCTGCAGAGCTTTCTGTCTGTGAGCGGTGAAGCCTGAATACCAGAGACCCTGAAAAAGAAGCTTAGCATTGTCAAGCTGCCAATCTGCCTCTGGACAGCTGGGGCTGCCTCTAGTGTGCAGGCCTGTGGGCAACGGACCCTCAGGAGGGCACCCAGGCCTCTGGCTGAGCTGGACATGATCTGGGCTCCGGACCTGATGAAGCTGCTCAAGCAAAACCACGTGGTTGTGGCTTAAAAAGAAAGCATGACAGAGGCGGTTAACAAGCGACAAGCCCTACTTTCAGGAAGAACTACAGGGCAGCTGGCAGACCAGTACAGAAGCCAGGACCACAAACGAAGGCGCAGGGAAGACCCCCAAGCCGGAGCAGAAGGGGGACAGCTTGATGACCAGGCAGAGGAGGCCCACGGAGGCGCCTGCAGAGAAACAGCCGTTTATTCTCACCATCGCCATCCAGCTACTCTCAAACGCCAGCCCTTGAATCCTCTGAAGAGAGCCTGATGGCGGTGTGTGGAGGCTTGAAGGCTGCCAGGAGACACGACCACAGCTATTGTGGGCACGTTTGGAGCTTTTAAATACAATGAGATAAATGTAGTCCAGAGAAAAGGAGCCAACATGTCAGATGGCCGTACTCACTGTGACCCTTGCAGGCAATCCCTAGAGTAAGCCCAGAACCAGAGGAGGGCTGAGGCAAGACAAAGTGTCTGACTGCTGTCAGGCAGCGGCCTGAGCGGGGAAGCCTCCCAGGCCTCAGACAAAACAAGCAAGCACAGAAGATGTTCCAGGCCAGCATGGTGAGACCCTGCAGCAAAACTCAGTATCTTCTCCATCTGTCATGTGATCCCTGTCCTGACCCTCGGTAAATATGCAAACTGGCAAGGGGTCAGGGTCCCTCCTCTGAGCAGCCCTATAGTTTATCTATGGAGCTCAGGTCAAGTGATTCCCGCCCTGGAACTGGGAGGTTCTGAAGGACCATGTGCATCTCGGTGGCTACGCAGTGCTTATACTCATGTCTGGCTCCACAATGGGGTGAGAAGGGAAGAAGCAACAGAGACTCAGTGGACGTAATGCAGAAGACTCAACAGACTGGGTATCCAGCCAGGACACTGAACTCAGAGAAGACAGGTGATGTGACCGAGACCTCACAGCTGACAAGTGGCAAATGCCAGGATTCAAAGAGGCTGTTATGGCACTAAAGCCTAAGATCCATTTTTTTGCTCCTCTTCAATACTCCAAACATATTTGAAATATCAGATATGTGCACCCACTAACCTGTCACACACTCGCCCAATCAGCACCGGGTGAATCCCCAGCACAAGGGAGCAAGGCCATGCACCCTGCTACCATGGAAATGGGAACCTGACAGGCCATGGGCCAAGAGATGAGGGGGACCCGTCAGGTCATAGATCAGCACTTCACAGAAGCCCCAAGAACAGTTGTGAAGACTCAAGGCTCCCAGCTGACGGCCTGACACTAGAAAGCCTCTCTGCTGAAATAAAACAGCACTTAGGTGGGACACACACCTCTGGACTGATTAATTCCAGTGGTGAAAATATAAAATAACATTTAAGTCCATCAGGTTCAGCCCATTTTCACAATCATTCTTTTTCACTAGCATGTGCTAAGAAGCCAAGATGACCTTGAACAGGACCTGAGCACCATCTAAAGCAATTTAAGTTCAAATGCAGCCAGAAGCCAGCAAAAGAAAAACTGTGCAGTAGTCAAGATAATTGAGATGAAAAGACCTAGGCTGATTGAGGGTTACAAGATTACAGACTACACACCTACTTGATTAAAAGGCAAATATGTAAAAGAACTAATTTTATAATAGGGAAAATAAATTACAATTCGTACATCTAGTAAGAAGAAGATAATGTATTCAAGCACTTCTATCGCAACTGTCTTAACAGTAAAATCTGTATACGTATGAAGGATAAATCCCCATTGTCTTTCTTGTTTAGAACACAGGCATTTTTAAAAAATAGAACTGCAACTTTAAAACAGAGGTTGCAAAAACAACTGGCCAAGAAGAAAATATAAGGAAATAAAGAGAGCGAGATATTTAGCATTACAAACTGGGAAGCCCAGGTCCTAGTCCTAACAGAGACAGAGCTGCCCAGGGGCTCCGCCCAAGTGACATGCAGATCAGTTACTGTCTAAGCTGGTGATTTTTCCAAAGCAACTGGAGATTAAGAAACAACAAGACACAATAGCCATGCGTTAAACCAGGCAACCAACCAGGAATTTTTTAAACTATGTGGGCCAAACCAATCACGTCTCACATCTAAATGCAGCCTTGGGGCCCCTAGCTTGACTCCAATCTACAGTACGTACCCATTCGTTTGTGGCTTATGTATTCCAACAAAAACAAACACACACAAAGCTTACAGTATTAAATGCTCCTTATTAAATGCTATAGACTCATAATGTTATTAAATGTTATAGACATTAAATGTTATAGGCTTCCTTATTAAATGTTATAGACTCATACTAAATGTTATAGACTCATTTAGAATATGCAACATATATGAAGATGTGTTAAGAGTATAATGTAATTCAGAAGGCTCTAGTTTCTATGCACAGCTAGACTGCTCCTTCCCTGGACCCATGACTGTACAAAGTCAAGTCCTTTAAACCACGCAAGAAGCTGACTAGCTAAATCATACCTGCACATTGCCTCCTCCATCTGCAAGAAAGATAACTTCCATTTTGCTTAGTCACAGTTCTGATTGGTGAGTAATTTTTCCCATGCAAGGGAAAAAGCAAACTGTTTTGGATCATTCTTGCTTGAATAACTCCCTAGATAACTTTGGGATAGCACGAGCTTCCTATTTCTCACCTTCTATTGTTGTATATATATAAACTGAGCATAACCAGTCAAAGGTTCAAGGAAATAACAGATTTATTTGCATGCTAAAGGGTCCTACTACAAGAAGCCACCTGGTATAATTCTCTACAGTAAGTGCTTTCTCACATGTGGGGAACGAATCTTCAGGTCCTTGGGTGACTTACATTTTTGTGTTCTTAAAATTATTGCTAATTATGTTCAGTTCATACATCTAAGACTGTAGAAATAAGAAAAACAATTTGTGGAGAAAGATGGCCTAAAAAATTTAACAATCCAGGTTGATAGGAATGATCAAATTGATAGGAATGATAAAATTACACAGCAATCTTACAAGCTTGTTTACTTATATAACAGACATGAAGCCAAATTCAGCACTGTGGACATAAAATACTCAGACTACCTTCTGGCACTAATAAATGTCTTTTGCACTAGGAAAAACACAATGAGAAAAGGTTCAACTTACCCAACCTCTGAGAAAATTCATAAAATTTCTTTAATTTGCCTACAAGTGGTACAACTGCACCCCACGCCTTCTCCTGCAGCTTCTCATCTGCGGGATGCTGGATTGCCTTCAAAAGACAAAGAATAACAATGGTTAGATTTTTAAAAAAATCACAACAGTATCACTTTTACATTAAAATGTAAGTTTTAGGTTTTAGCATATGTAAGAAACCCAGGTATAATCTATAAAATAAAAATAAAGGACCCAGGAATGCTGAGAGTGGGTCTTCTCAACTCCACGGATACTTTAACTGGTTTCAATACATTCTTAGTTATCCTTGCAACCGATATAAATATAATACTTTTTAAATGGCACAATATGTTTGGCTAAGTATATCATCCTTGTGCCTTTCAAATCCACAAAAGGAAAAGATTTCATATTGTTTCCCATATCACAGACAGGCTCTCTTAGTATTTCTTTGTCAAAGAGTTACTTTGGTGGAAGAAAAGAAAACCAAAAAAGTCAGGCAATAAATGAAGATGCCAACTCAGGAAACTGGCTCAAATACTTGAGATAAGACAAGTTCCAGAACCCAAACTAGCTCTAAGATAACTAGTTAGCACTTAAGAACCGAAATCGGTCTGAAAAATGCGATTTAGGAACTATCACAGACACGAGTTCTCTGTAACTAAAATCCTATTCTGGATTCCAGATTATCTCAGACTTTCCTGAGTTACAAGACAAACTAGCTGTAAATCTGAAAGGGGAGAAAACAAAACATAATCCTTAATATAAATATGAACAATGCCTTTTTAGATATCTACTCTTTCAAACCCTGAGGCAATCGTTTCAGGCCACAGAGGGTCATTCCCAAAGAAATGTATTTTCTTGCCCATCTTCCTTTTGCCTGTAGATGCTGTTCTTGATTCTTTATGGAACTTTATGCCTTTCTCAACAACTTGGTTTCTCTAACATCTTCAAACAAACTGCACACATGATCTGAAAGCTGGAATTCATAACCAAGGTAGAGGCCAGCTTACACACATTATCAGGAGGGTCTATGAACATGTCTAGACATTCCCAAGCCACTAGTACTGAGTCCACCCAAGAGAAACAAGAAAGCAAAATCAAACTGAACCCAGAGAGAGTTCAAAGATGCTCTGATTAAACTAGCTGCAAACCAAATAAATGTGCTAGACACTGCTTAAGCAACTTATAAGCTATTTTAACATTTTCTTGATGTTTTATACAATTTTGTAAAAATGATGCTTAAACTCAATAGAAGCCTGAAGTCAATCCTACTTATGTGATTATCTAGACATATTGTAATCCTGAAAGAAAACCTGACATTAAAACGTGTAACAATCCTTATTTCACATTATACAAGGGAGGAACCCCAAAAAGCCAGAATTATCTTTTGGAGGGCAGCCCCTCTGTGATACCAACAGGCCTTCCCCACTAGTTAGTGTTCTAAGAACCTAGTGGCACCAGTGTAACAGCTAGTGTTGCTGTGAGAAGTTGCATTTTACTTCAGTGAAATTTTTCTTGAGGTTTTTTCCAACATGCTTTCCCATTCTGTGATGGGTGATTCACGCACATACGTGCCCACACCACGCTGAGTGTTCAGCAGTTTTTGACGAAAAACATCATGACCCCCTTGCCCTACCCGCCTTGTCCACCCAAGCGACTTTTTGCTGCAGTTAGGTAAGGTTTTGGGTCAATACTCAATTATAGCCCAACACGCAAAAGTGTACTTGCTAAATGTCATGGTAAAGCAATCATGGAGCAGGTATTGCAACTCATTTCCAAAAAAGTTACAACTGTTATGGACATTCTGCGTTAACGAAAAGAACTTATTTCTCCCTCTAGTGATTTTTCCTAGACAATAAGATTTGCTTATTTAATAGATTCTATCTTAAATCACATATTATTCTAAATTAGAATCAAATTTAATAAAACATTACTTAAATTAAAATATATATGACATCACTAACATCATCATAAAAGAAAATTCTCCATTTGGCCAGGAACAGTGGCTCATGCCTGCAATCCCAACATTTTTGGAGGCCAAGGCAGGAGGACTGCTTGAGTCCAGGAACTCAAAACCAGCCTGGACAACGTGGCAAGACCTTGCCTCTATGAAATAAACAGACAGACAAATAAATAAATAAGCCAGACATGGTGGCATACACCTGTAGTCCCAGCTACTAGGGAGTCTGAGGCAGAAGGATCGCTGAGCCCCAGAGGTCAAAGCTGCAGTAAACCATGATGGTGCCACTGCACTCCCACCTGGACAGCAGAGTGAGACTCCAGACTCAAAAAAAAAAAAAAAAAAGAAGAAGAAGAAAAAAGGAAAAATATCCGGGCTCGGTGGCTCAGCCTGTAATCCTGTGCCTTAGGAGGCTGAGATGAGTGGATTGCCTAAGCCCGCGGGTTTGAGACCCGCCTGGGCAACTTGGTGAGACCTCATCTCTACAATAAATCAAAAAATTAGCCAGGTGTGGTAGCGTGCACCTATAGTTCCGGCTATTTGGAAGGCTGAGGTGGAAGATCTCCAGAGCCCAGCAGGTCAAGGCTACGGTGGCCAGGAGCGGCCACTGCACTCCAGTCTGGGCGACAGAGTGAGACACTATCTCCAAAAAAAAAAAAGAAAGAAAGGAAAAATGAAAACTCTCAGTTTATGTTAGCTTTGTATTAGGCATTATACTATGTGGTTTACATGGATGAGCTAAATTATTTTTCTTAATAAACAAGGTTTTGTGCTGTAGGCCAAGCTGGAGTGCAGTGACACAATCATAGCTTACTGTAGCCTCAAACCCCTGGGCTCGAGTCCTTCCACCTCAGCCTTCCAAGTAGCTAGGACTACAAGTGGGGCCAAGTGATCTGCCCTGGCCTCCCAAAGTGCTGGGAGCTACCATGCCCGGCCAGATTATCTAATTTTGTCTTCACAAGAACTCAATTATAAATTGCTTCTATATTAAAGCTACTAGGTAAGGTGGCTGGGATTACAGGTGTGAACCCTTTGTGACACCTGGTCTCTTATTGCTTCTTATTCTTCCCTCCATTTACATTTCCTCTTGAATTAAAGTTGTCTGGAATACGTTTTCTAAAACAGAAGTAACTGGTGGTATACGAGAACAAATAATTTCATGGTTCTTATTTTATACATTGCCAAACCGACCTCCAAAAAGACAGTCACTTTACAATACTACTTGCACTGACTGAGATGGCCTGCTTTTCATAAACCAACCAACCAAAACTTCAACAGTGATGTACACTTACAAGTAAAGCTAAACACTTTCTCTATTGTCTGTACTTTTTCACAGGTAGAATGGTTGATTGCTCTACTAAGTCTGATTAATTAATTAGCAACATAAAGTTTTAATGTTGACCTATTCTTTGTATATTTGGTATATATGCAGCTTTCATCCGTGCTTTCCTTTATTAATTTAAATTGTTTTTCTATTCTTTAGAAATCTTTTCTATTTGTATTAAACCCACACATCAATTTCTCATTGAACATTCTTCAACTTCTTGAATAATTTACACATTTGTCCTCCATCTACAGTAGATTTAAATTCAGCTTTTAAAGAGTTTTCTAACTTACATATCTTATTTCTACTTCTCTTTCCTTAGTTCCTTTACCAAGCAGTTTAATGATTGTACCTTTATTATCATAAGTCTTAAGCCTTCCAAGTAGCTGGAACTACAGCCATGTGCCACCACACCTGGCTAATTTTTTTTATTTATTGTAGAGATGACATCTCACCAAGTTGCCCAGGCTGGTCTCAAATCCCTGGGCTCAGGCAGTCTTCTCATCTCCACCTCCCAAAACGCTGAGGTTAGAGGCATGAGCCACCACAGCCAGCCTGCTGATAATTTTTATTAGAAATGCAGGTTGGATTTCATCAAATGCTTTTTCTACATCTATGGAGACAAATTTTCTCTTTTAGTTTGTTAATATGGTGAATGACAAATGATTTTTTAATGTTAAACCAGGCTTACATCCCAGAATAAACCCCAATGGGTCATAATATATTATCCTTTTATATACTCTTTGATATGATAGCCTACATTTTATTTAGTATTTTGGCATTTGTATCAGAAAAGCACAGGTTCTGAGACTTGGGCTGGGATACCTGGCTACAGCTATATGCACTTGAAAATCTTATACCTCCAGCTTGCATGAAAAATCTGAGCCTGCAAAAGTAATGTGAATCTCTTATTGTTTGTTTTTGTTTTTATTTTTAGTTGGAGTCTCACTCTGTCGCAGTGACATGCTCAAAGCTATTGCAGTCTTGACTTCCTGAGCTCAGGCAATCCTTCTGCCTCAGCCTTCCACCACGCTGGGTCAACCTTTTTGATTTACTGTAGAGACAAGGTCTCACCAAGTTGCCTGGGATGGTCTCGAACGTCTGGACTCAGGCAGTCCTCTTGCCTCCGCCTCCCAGAGTGCTGGGATTATGGTGTGAGTCACTGCACTCAGCCTCTTACTGTTTTTTATTCTTCCCTTCTCTTTCGGTGATCCTCAATGATATTTTCTACATAAACTTTCTTGTCTTCTAAACGTTGAGACATTTGTTGACTTTCTCCCCTCATCAACCCGGAACATTCTGAGAACTCCCTGTGGCTGCATCTGTGTCTCCTCAGGAAAGCAGCACTGTGGAGTGGCCGGCACCCTGCACACAACTTCCACCTTGGTCCCAGCACCAAGAGCTTCTGGGTTCACAGCCCACTCACCCTCTTTGGAGTATCCTATGTACACGCTTTTCTATCACTGAACTCTCTTCCAGAAGATTACAACGGAATCTTAATATGCAATCCACTGTCTATATGCAAACTCTGGGGAAACAACTTTTTTATTGTAGGGAGCGTTCTCTCACACAGAAGCAGAATAACCCTTTCAATGTGAAGTATTGCAAAGAAAAATAAATCCTACCTTAAAAAAAAAATCAAATAGGTAATGAATAGCATTTGTCCCTATGGTAAAGGAGTTTTTTCTTTTTTTAGTCGGGGTCTCAGGCTGCCACCTGCCACCCAGGGTGGAATGCAGTGACATGATCACGGCTCACCGCAACCTCAAGCTCCTGGGCTCAAGTGATCCTCCTGCCTCAACCTCCCAAGTAGCTGGGACTACAGGCTTCAGCCTCCATGCCTGGCTGATCTTTAAAATTTTTTTGTAGACACAAGGTCTCACTGTGTTTTCCAGGCTGGTCTGGAACTCCTGGGCTCAAGCAATCATCCCATCTCAGCCTCCCAAAGTGCTGGGATTACATGTGTGAGCCACCAAGTCTAGCCAGATTTTTTTCTTTATTGCTTATAGGAGATGATTATAACTTGATGATAAGAATTCAATGATAAAACAAACTTTAAAGAAGTTTAATGACCTAATACTTATAAACAATTAAAAGTCATCTGTATCTTTGGCCAGGCTCAGTGGCTCAGCCTGTAATCCCAGCACTTTGGGAGGCCGAGGCGAGTGGATTGCCTGAGTCCGTGGGTTTGAGACCCACCCAGGCAACTTGGTGAAACCTCATCTATACAATAATCAAAAAATTAGCCAGGCGTGGTGGCGTGTACCTGTAGTTCTGCCTACTTGGAAGGTTGAGGTGGAAGGATCGCCGGAGCCTAGCAGGTCGAGACTGCAGTGGCCGGGAGTGTGCCACTGGGTGACAGAGTGAGACTCCAACTCAAAAAAAAAAAAAAAAAAAGTAATCTATATCTAATAATCAACATGGAGACAGTATGAAACATTTTAGAACAACTTGTGAATTGGTGTGACTTACAGGAAAACGGCAATTTAACAATTAAAATACTGCTTAATCTTTTAAATCTTTCAAATGTTTGATTTTTCAAAATATGCTTAAATGTTTAGAGAACTTAAATTTCACAGAAATAGTTATATACCTTAATTTACTAATTTTTTTTTGTTGTTGTTTTTTGAGTTGGAGTCTCACTCTGTTGCCCAGACTGGAGCACAGTGGCATGCTCCTGGCCACCGCAGCCTCGACCTGCTGGGCTCCGGGGATCCTTCCGCCTCAGCCTTCCAAGTAGCTGGAACTACAGGAGCGTGCTACCATGCCCAGCTGGTTTTTTATTTATTATAGAGACGAGGTCTCGCCAAGTTGCCCAGGAGGGTCTCGAACCTGCGGGCTCAGGCAGTCCACTCGCCTCAGCCTTCCAAAGTGCTGGGATTACAGGTTGAGCCACCGAGCTCGGCCAATTTACTGAAATCTTAAAGTTTCACTAAGCTAATAATATTGCCAGAATTGAAAGTCTAAAGCTCTTGCATTTGCTTCTTCAACAGTTAACTGCTTACTAAGCACTGGACTAGGTTGCTGGTAACACCAAAATAGGCAAGAAGCCAGGTTTACCCTCCTCAAGCTGGAAATACAGTGGTGGAGACACAAACATCCAATATCAATGGTTTAAAAACAACAAAACGAAACCCAGATGGTTACCATAAAAGCAATGTGTGTAAAGTGCTAGGGCGGAAGAGGAAGAGGAAGCAGGGGGTTGTCAGGACGTGTAGGGGGAGGGGACTGCAACTGGCAAAGGGGGAAGTGCTTTCCAGACAAGGCTGCCACAAGGAAGCGGGCCTGTGCAAGACACAGGGCAGCAAGAAGCTGCAGGAGAGTGGGCAGCGGAATTCACCTGCCCACCATCTCCTCTGCCAACAGCCTCAGTCACCAAAACACCTGAGGAACTGTCGTCTTCCGGTGTCTGCACGGGCTCTGCCGTCACCACTGCTCCAAACATCACAAGAGAAATCGAGCTGGCTATGGACCGCACACCCAGAGGCTGGTCCTTGACGACTTCTGCCTCCTCATCATGAGAAGAGTGACAGAGTGGAGAGAGGGAGGGAGGGTCACCGCGTGGCACTGCCTCCGGATGGCCTTTCACCAAGAGAGGAAAACCAGGGCCCAGAGGCCGAGGAGCTTCTCTGGGAAGGGCAGGACACCCACGCTTGGACAAGCTGGAGGGAATAAAGCCGCCCAAGAAGAAAGAAGCTGAAACCAAGAGAAGGAAGAATTTCAAAAGTTCCAAAACAGGATGAAGAACACAGGCAGAGAAGCTAGTCTTGGACAGCAGCAGAGACGCAGTTTCTTCTGAGAAATGGAAGAAATGGAAACCTGAACGCACCCAGGTTTGGGAGAAGAAAGCAGAGGCCACACGAGACATTTTCTTGTGTCCAGACTGCAAGGATGATTTCGGCTTTCTCCTAGGAAGCTGAAGAGAAGTAGAAAAAACAGACTGGCAGAACACAGCCAAAGAAAACAGTAAGAGCTCCCCAGGAATCCTGTACATTTCAAGTGCGAGAGCAACAAAAAAGTAAACCCAATTTTCTTTACTACACATAAATTGCTTATTTATGAGACACTATTTTCCTTTTACCCTCATGTCACTGCAACCGTTTTTGAAACGATGCCAAGCAACCATCCTTCAATAATACTTAATATAAAGTAGAGAACTCTCAAGTCTAGAAAACACCCAAGAGTGGACATAGTTCATCTCTATTAACGGGGAAAGATGTAAACGCACATTACCTCTCGTATTTCATGGCCAGCTCCTCGGTATGACTGCAAGTCTTCCAAGATGCCTTCTGCATCTTTTAATACTACATTCACCTGATTATAAATTTCCTTCTCAGACTCTGTAGGCTGGGCATCTAAATAGCAGGAAAGCACAAGAAAATTTACAGTGACATGAATTTTTTAAATACATGTATAACTCTAAGTAATTAACAACCCAGATTTCCAAATGTTTACTCAATGTTAACTTTATTTTCTTAGAAAAGACTAAACTTTTCCACAGCTCTGCATTTAAATAACTAGCATCAAGTTAATCAACACAGAAAGCAAGAGACCATTACTATTTAAAGTTACAAATTATGATTTGGTATATTAAACCAATCTGAATTATAATTGAAATTTTAAGTTAATAGTCTTAACAATCACTTTTTCTACTACATACATCACCATCACTGACTGTAAACGCAGCAGTCATGATCTGTTTTAATGCACTAGAATTGAAAGCCTACAAAGATACCTTGTTGATCTCTAGTTTAAGACTAAAATTACTTTATCTCCGAGTGATTTTTGATACAAAAAAAGTAAAAACTTTAAAGAATACTTTTTAGAGGCTCCCCTTTCCTAGGGATCACTTTTAATTCTGTCTCAACAAATATGATGGTATAAGCTACAGAAGGGAGGAAACAGACATCAAAGGCCAAAGCCAAGGGTAGTATCACTGAACTGCTCTGCAGATGCACAAAGGTCAAGACTGCTGTGCAGAGGGGCGTTCAAATTACAAAACTGCTCAGAACGGAGCTGCTGAAAACTAGATGCTTTAAGCTGCACTCAGTACTATTCCTGAAGCATTATCAGAGACACACACACGTGGGCACATTCACCACCTGTGGGTGAGCCATAAAGCATAACGATAAAGGTAACTAAGCCTGGATTTCTCTCAGCTTGACTCGAGTTAACAGAAATCCTGCTTTTTATAATAACTCAACTGTTTGTTTCTCAAAGGACAACTTTTTTTAATTTAATACATTTCACATATGAAACTGATAGAAGAGATGCCTAAATAACTATAAATTCATTTTATGCTTGGAGCAAAACATAATTCAATTCCACCCATTAAGCTTACTAACTAGGCAAAAATATACAACAAATTTATAAAAAATCAATAATTATGGTACCAAATTTTAAATTCAACATATGTGAAACATACTACAGCAACAATAAAGTAACATTCATATGCAAAGCCAACTTAAGAATTTGTGTTCACATATCTGTTCCCTTATTTTTCAAACTTATTTTCAGAAATCATGTGTTTTTTAAGAATGAAAATACTGTGACAAAATAATTACAAAAGAAGAGCCAATTGAAAAATTTTAAAAACCCTCTGTCCAAAGTGACAAAGACATTACTAGAAACAAACACTGATATTGGAGCTAAATGATCAGTTTTTTTCAAATCAGGTTTTGTCATTTAGCAGTAATATTTTTTTGCATTTAGCCAGACCATATGTTAGACACACACTTTTTAAAAAAGCACTCCTCATAACTTTTATACTTACACCAAATGCAGTAGAAAAAAATACTTTTTACATGCAAAAACGAGTTTTATACTTTTTCATATGGAATTGTGGAACTACAAACATAACATCAATAGTAGACACATATTATAGTTTGAATCATGAAGTGGGAATTCATGACAAAGGACGATATTTTAACTATTATGTATCGAAAGTATTCGTGAAGTTTGAAAATACTAAACTATGTATTTTTGGTGTGGTGACTAGCTGTTAACATAAAAATGTGACACTGAGACTTACATACAAACAAAACATTCTCAAGTAGACTTAAATAAGTAGACCTTGTAAGTGGTTAATAACTAGTAAAGGTTTAATAAGTACCAAGAAATTTAAAACTAAAGGAGAAGATTCGAGTTTCCCTCAAGGGTGGGAGAAACACCCAGCACCACACTGATTCAACATTTTTTAGACTGTCACAGGAAAGTCACATTTATAATTTTGAAAGCTGCTGAAGACTGCTGTAGAAATGAAGACAAACAGAAAAAAGCAGACAGGTAAGCACTACTTTACTGAGAGCAAGTCATGCAAAAGGGTTTGAAATACTAAGAGGAAAAAAACTGCATAAAATAAAGATTTCTTTAAATTTCAAAAAATGGTATTATATAATGCAACCAAGACTTGTCACTTTGATTCTTTATAAAAAAGAATGGCTTTACTATTTCAAAAAAAATGTACCACTTAGACAGCTAACAAAAGGATATTCATCTGATTGTAAAATAATGTACCCATTACTGAGAGTAGACATACTGATTACTCATCAAGCTTAGTTATAAAAGATGTTCAAGGGAAATTAAGGCATGTTTCAACCGTTCTTATCATTTGAGGGTAAAATTAAATATTTTCGTAACTTCACACCAATTTCCTGTGGGGTGGAGGGTAGAAGAGTCACTAAAAATAATTGCTAACATTGAAGCTGTTACAACAATGCAAAAGGTGGCAAAGATTAGCTGTGAAAGGAAAAATATAAAAAGTAAGTCAACATAAAAATTTTAATTGTAATAAAGGGTCTTTCTGCTTTAACCTTACATTCACCCATTCAATCAATATATACAACTGTCTCTGTAAGTTTCATCAAGGTAGGGACCAAAATGTACAGTGCATACCACTGGTACATATGTAAATTCAGTACCTAGTAGGTTTTATATAATAAATATTTTTTGAATGAATGAGAAAGTACAGAGACATCAGGAAGTTTCCAGCACAAACTAAAGAAGACTACTATGCGTGTTGATCTCTGAATAAATAAATAAATACGTAAGAAAGATGCCACCAGAATAAAGATATTTCAAAATATAGGGCAAAGGAAATTGAAAGTATGCAAGAGGTAAGTGAAAAAAATAAGTCAGAGAGTGGGTCCCAATATTTTTAAATGGTGACAGGAAACAGGTAACATAAAAGACACAAGAAGTAGAGGAGATGTATGACTCAATGGAAAGGCATTACAACAATGAACCAGAGCAAACAGATTCTGGCTCTCATTTACTGACAATCACCTCTACTTACTCTGCCAGTCTGATCTATCTAGAGACAAGTAAATCACGCTTAACAAAAATGTACCAAACTTCTATCACTTAAAAAGCACTATGCTAAGGCTGGGGAAAGGACACAAAACTAGAGTCCCTCTTCTCCTGAGAACCAAAATTTAGTGAGTGAGTATTCAGGCTAAAGATTTAGCATTACAATGAGCTGTAAAGTAACAGTGTTGTTACACAATAAATAGTAAGAACTCCAAGAACTAGAAGAGGCTATTTAGCTCTTTTTATATGCTGTCATTAGCATGACTGCTGCCAAATTTTATGGAGTAATTCTGACCTTTTATCTTAATTGGACATTTATTAAACAAAATCACAAGAAAATCTAACGTTTAGCTGTAATTTGTTTTAAAGAAAAAGTCCTAACAAAAGTAAAAAACAGTATATTTCAGTGAACACTGAATGACATTACATGCCTTAAGGCCTTTGTCCAAGATGCTTCTTGAAACATTTGTTTTGTTTTAAGTTGGAGTCTCACTCTGACACCCAGGCTGGAGTGCAGTGGCATGATCATGGCTCACTACAGCCTCGACCTCTGGGGTTCATGTGACTCTTCTGCCTCAGTCTCTCGAATAGCTAGTACTACAGGTGCACACCACCATGCCTGGCTACTTCTTTTTCCTTTTAAATTACAGAGACAAGGTCTTGCTATGTTGCCCACGCTGGTCTTGAATTCCTGGGCTCAAGTGAGCCTCCTGCCTGAGCCTCCCAAGTGCTGGTATTAAGAGGCGTGAGTCACTGTGCTAGCTCCAAACATTTTAATTCCCCCTCCCAAACACAATTCCAACATCACCCTCAGAAAGACTTCCATGATGATGTCCAATCTATTCATTGCCACATGAAGTTAATAAGCTCTTAATCTACACTTTGAATGTAAATGATGCCAATTAGATTATGAGTTTGCATTCTCTCTATCGTACTCGACTGAGAGCTCCCCAAGGAGGGGTTGCATCTCAGTGATCTTTGCATACTCAACGCCTATTGGCTGGTTCAAGCCATAAATGCACGTTAAACTGGACTGAAAAACAATTACCAGGATGGAGGTGTAGTGTAAGTAAATGGAGTTGTGATTTACTTTAAAGACAGCCTTCATTTTGTAAACTGCAAGATTCCATTCGGTCACATTTCAAATGCACTAGCATACTTCATTTGCATACAACAGGATGCAAAAAGCCAGAAACATCTGCATGGAATTTTTTCCATCGTTGCCCAACTACAGAGACATATTGGGCTACACTTAACCAACTCGAATGATAAGAATAATGTGACTACGTGATCTGAAGGTGACTGTTTATCTAGTAATAAACAATGAAGTGCTACTCTAACTATTAAAAAGAATGCAGCTTTATTTCAAGTAATCATTAGGAACAGGCAAATCAACTTTGCTGGCAATTCTGAATCTGGTGTAAAACAACCTAAGAGAAGACTCATTGGGAGTGTCCATGTCACTATAGTAGCTTACCGATACGGCAAGACTTTACAAGTGCATGTTTCCAAAAAGAAGAATGATATGCAGCAAGTGGATGAGAGATAAAATTAAAGAATGCCAATGTTAAAATAAAAAAAACACATTTTAAAATCTAAATAAGAAATAACAGTGGGCAAACTCTAGCCTGGTATACAAGGTATCTCCACTAAATTTCATTTACAGTATATCAATAAGTGTCAAACCAAAAGTTCTACACTGGCCGATACCGGCAACAAATATCATTTTTAAATTTTTTTCTTTTTTTTTTCTGAGTTGGAATCTTACTCTGTCACCCAGGCTGGAGGGCAGTGGCACGCTCCTGGCCACTGCAGCCTCAACCCGCTGGTCTCCGGCAATCCTTTCGCCTCAGCCTTCCAAGTAGCTGGAACTACAGGCACACACTACCACACCCGGCTAATTTTTTTTCATTTATTGTAGAGACGAGGTCTCGTCAAGTTGCCCAGATGGGTCTCGAACCCGCGGGCTCAGGCAATCCTCTCGCCTCGACCTCCCAAAGTGCTGGGATTACAGGCTAAGCCACCAAGTCCGGCCTCATTTTTTAATTTATATCTTCCTTTGAAGTTAACATTTTATATGCAGTTCTGCACTACTGGTTATTATTGTCATTACTAGCAATTTAAACCTTTTCCTGCCACTATATTGGCTATTTAAATGTTAGGGATAGTGATCCAAATACCCTCACAGACGGAAAAGTCAAGACCAAGTTATCTTTTAAATACTACATCTAAATTCATGCTTCTCACTTGACCACAATGTAACACTAGGTTTATAAAAAGATCAAGTGCCAAGTCTTGAACAAGATCTTGACTGTATCAAAGCCAAGATTCTGCAATGTCAGGAATTTGAGACAAAGAGGAAAAGAGAGACAGAACAGCAGAAAAATACACAAAGACCAAGTTTGAAACAGATGCAAATAAACTAAAATACAGCTCTGATGTAAGTTGCCTCGTCTGAAAGAACGATCTCCAAGTCAGCAATCCGCTCAACATCCCCAAGCTGATTAAAGTCATGCTGAACATGCATTTAAAACAGCACTGTGAAATTGCCGAGAAGGGTCAAGAAGACTAAGATTCATCTGGTAACACGTTCCCTTAAAAACCCAACAATTTAATATGGTCCTGATGCTGGTATCACTACTCTGTCCTAGCCTGCACACAGCCCAAACTGCAGCAGATTCTTCATGGGAATGTAATAAAGAAAATATCAGTGATCACAAATGATTCTACAAAAGGAGATAAGCTTTTTGCTTATATGAATTTGTACTTGGTTTAAAGGAATATATACATATATATATGATTCATTAAACAGAATGAATTATATAAAATCATAAAAACTAAACTGAAATTAGAAGAAAAGACAGAGGCTCTCTGGAGGTTCAAGTGATTTGTTGTGTTCTTAAAATCAGAAAAAGTCTTAAATTTTAAGTATTTAAAAATTTGTTCAAATGTTTTAACCTCAAATAAAAATGTAAGGGGTCAGTCACATGATTCAAAACCTAAGGACTATCTCTTCACCCTTTCCTAACAATTTTCTAATGATCAGTTAAAATAGCAACATTAACACTAAAACATCGATTGAATATCATTTTTCTCAATTGGACAACCAGACAAGCTAAAGCGATACCAACAGCCAAAAAAGCAAAAGCTTTGCAACATGCACCAAGGTCAATGACACTTACCTGCCACTCTTAGACCATATTACAATAGGTCATGCAACATAAAACAAACAGAAGGCAAATTACTTAAAGGTCTGTGAACCCATTATTTTTCTTTTTATTTAGAGCTAGAAAAAAATGAATTCCTGAAATAAATACATGGAGTTTTTAACTTTTCAAATGATCTGCAAAGATTAAATAATTTAGGTTCACACTTACCTTTTAATATTATGCCCAAATTACTGAGCTCTGAATGGCCTTCATGAACAGATTTGTATTTATTAAAATACTTAAATATGCATCTAAAGTAATTGCAGCCTAGTCGATTTTCCTCAACTACAACAAAATTTCTTCCCCAAATATTACTTCTATTAATAAATCTTGAGGTAGTATTAGTTCTTTCAACTTTTCATAAAAATGTTTGCATAAAATAGAGCTCAGATTACAAAATAATCTTCAACTAAGAGATATGAAATCTCTTAGAAAAACTCAAAAATCATTTTATCATCACAACTTAATCTATAAAATATGACTTCCAGTTCTAGAAGGCACCAGAAATTTTACTCAAACAATTCACAGCTCAGTCATGCAAAGCAGTTAAAAAGATGGCGAAGTGGAAACATTCATTTAGTGCAAGACAAACGCAGTCTACTGCAGGCAAAGAGAAATAGATATAAAATCATCTTCTCACTTTCAAAATCAAGGAAAAAATTTGGCCCCTGCTCAAGGTCTGTGCATGTCAAAACTTTAAGAAGATTCCCCATGTTAAGGTACCTGTCGAGACAAGAATGAGAAAAGAGAAAATATCCCTTTATAAAAAAGAACATCTGAAATTTGCTTTAAAAAAATAGTAACAGGGAAAATGTTCATTAGGCCATGAATTCATCCTTCAGGTTACCCAGACTGTGCTCTGGCAGACAGCAAACCGGGTTCTCAAGGTGTTGGTATGTAGGAACCTAGAGGTGAAATGTGGGTTTCCTGTACACAGTGGCACACTCTTGCTCTAATTCTTCTCAACATCCTCCCAAGACATGTTTCGTTAATGGCCTTATAATGAACAATTCCTTAAGTATTCCAATAGTGCTAGTATTCTGAAAAAGAAATTTCTGATCAAGAATTATTCAAGTCATCTTGTTAGTACAGCACCGAATGACAATTTCTTTCAAAGCCAAATTTGAATATGTTCGGCCACAGCTCGCCGTTGCTTCTCATCTTAAAACAGTGTAAAGTAAAACTTACTTCCTGCATGCCATTAAATAGAGCACAGATTTCCAGCCAAATTTGGATGATTGATAATTGGTGGCAGTTAATGTATTGATTCCAGATATGCAGCACAGTTCTGATTTTTAAATAAAATTGTTGAAAGCAAACGCTGTTTGGCATCGTCACTAAAGCATACTATTAGAATATTCATCATAAGGCTACTTGCTTCATGGACTAATGAAAGGACAGCACTGGCTACAGACTCGACATGATTTTAGCAAATGAAAAACTAAAGAATTATACATATGATGGTGATGTTTGCCTACGAGTAAGAAGAAAATCATGCAACCTTTGCTCGATCCCCATGTTTAATTAACAAATACTCTGGCTGGCCTTCACTGCGGTGTGAGGATCATTATCTTTCACCTTTACCATGACGCACCAGCTGTGAAGGGCTCAAGAGACTTACTTTCAAAGTCCAAGAAAAAATGTGCTGCATTGTGGTCTATGTCCCTGGTTAGCACCTTAATGAGATTACCCATGCCAGCAAACCTAAAAATAAAAATGGCAACATCATTTAGTTCCAGTAAGACGTGTAAGCAGAGGCCTGGGACTCGGCAGAGGCTGGCTTGCTCGCGGTGACCCACAGGGGCAGGCTTATGCTTTGGGCAGTGGAAATGTGGACCGACAAAGGCACATCTGGCTCTGAGTTGACCGCTCCTGTCCCGCCTTCCACCCCTCAAAAAGGTTACATACAGCAAACAGGGGAAAAAGATTAGATTTTTACATACAACCTTCAAGATTTCATTTGGTCACTACGTTCATGTTACTCTTTTAACCTTGTTGAGGTATATCTTCTCAATCTAAATTAGCAGCAAAACCAGATTTTTCAAATAAGTAAACAGAGAGACCTTTATTTCTAGGGAAAAGGAAGATTTTGCTTCTTGCAGAGTCAAATCCTATTGAGAACACAGAGAAGATAGTATTCAAACCACATTAAACCAGCAAGACTGAATAAAGTTATCAATGAATGACTCATTTCTCAAAAACTTACCACACATAAATCAATTTATTGTATCTTCTAGCTCCTAAGACTAATCAAGCTTTTATTACTGAATAACTCTTAGATTGAATATTCAACTAGATGCAACTAAACAATGTAAGTAACTTAAAAGTTAACACAGCAAAGAAGCACGCTGGGAGCCAGCAATTTCCACAATGTCAGTTTTCTGGGGGAAAAACGTAAACATAAGGCACTGGCATAAATGTTGCCAATAATCGGCCCTAAGCCCCGTGAGGAAGAAGGTGGGGAGGGTGGGCAGGAGGATCCAGGAAACCACGTTCACACCGGGAGGGTGGGGCAGCAGCAGGAAGGCCAACCCTGGTGCCAGCCATTCACACTCCCCTTCTCCCCCTCCCTCGCCGGCCTCCCTCCCTCCAAACTGCTGGACTTTGTCTCCAAAGACCAGGCTGCTGGCAAACGAAATACAACAAAACATCAAAGAAACAATATTCTTATTAACAAAAGAAGACAACTTATCACTCACCCCCAGTGCCAGAAGCTGACAAAAAGTTAGTACTTTCAGACACCTGTGCTGTCCCCGCCTTCTCCCACCTGCTCCCCAGCTAACCTCTGTTCCCACCCTAAGCTTTCCAAGAGGAAACAACAACGTATGTGTAACAATTACTTGCTTTGGAGGTAAAAGTCTGATGGATGGAGACACACAAGTATTATGCAATGTCAAATGCAATCTAATTTGTTCACAAGCATTTACTGAACAGCCCCTCTTTTTTGATACTCCATTCCCCAAATGGGGAAGTCGGGCCGTATCTTATTTTTCTTTGAGTCAGGCTCACTCTGTCACCCAGCATGGAGTGCAGTGGTACACTTGCGGCCACCCCAGCATTGACCTGCTGGGCTCAGGTGATCCTTCCACTTCACCTTCCAAGTAGCTGGAACTAGAGGCGTGCTACCACGCCTGGCTAATTATTGACTACTGTAGAGACTAGGTCTCACCAAGTTGCCTAGGTTGGTCTCGGACTCCTGGACTCCAGCAAGCCTCTCACCTCAGCCTCCCAAAGTGCTGGATTACAGGCTTGAGCCATGGTGCCCGGCCTCTATCTTCTTTTTTATATTAATATTTCTATTACACAGAATTTCAGTGGTCTGGCTTTGTACACTGTTCTACCTGAATAGATTAGGTGAAATAGAAGCTGAGAGGAATTTAATATTCCATCTGAATTGTCTTATGTATTCCAAAACATTTAATAATACCAAGGTTTTGTATTTAAGGAAAGGATAAGCATTTTTCCTAAATCATCACAGGCAAATAATTACCTCAGGTTGGTTACTAACCGTATTCAATAGATTTCTGAAGAAACTATTTGGAAATAGAATATTTCACAGGTTTGATATTTTAAAGCTTTCAAATATATATGGAATACTTGTTTCTAAAAACACTTGAATTATCTTACTAACAAGAATTGAGACCAAATACACAAAAAATTACCCAATGGTAGGTATCGAAACTGCAACTAGAGATGAAAAGTATGTCGTGAGAAAGGACTGGAATTGCTTTTCACAGCAAAAGGCGGCATACCATTTCGTGTTAAGGGTTTAATCTATGGAATCAAGTCAGAATTCTGACTCTAATTGCTAGCTGTGTGACAGTTCACCTCTCTGAGACTCACTTCTGGACTGGAAAAACAGAGGATCCGCTACTATGATACAGGGCTACAGTGAGGGTCCATGAGATTAAGCGCAACTGAGCACAGTGCCTGGCACATAGCATTTAATAAATGTTGGCTGTAATTATAACCCAAACGCCACAAAATAACTTTCAAAAAAGAACAATGGCTCTTATTTCTTCTCTCACAAACCTATCGATACATTTTAATGTTGCAAATCAGAGTATAAAGGCCATTTTTTTGTCAAGAAATGCTGAATATTGCTAGAACGCTGTCCTGAAGTTTGTTTACAAACAGGAAACCACCATCTGGTAGAGGAGGATGCAGGAGAGTGAGTCTAGGCCTCCTTACCTGGTCCCCCAGCGCATACAGGCCACCCCTTGGGGAAATGTTGGAGCCAGCAGGTGTGTCTGCTCCGTCTTCCTGCAGACCCTCTGTAACTGCTCACCATCACACCCTACCTGGTCCCAGCCTATCTGTTCTCCAAAGTTCTCAAGGACTCAGAATTCCTTACCTCTTGAGCCCACACACTCACAATGTGAAAATGGCCGTCTATCCAGCCGTGCCTCTCAATCTCAGCACTGGTAACATTTTGGACTGGATAATTCTTTTGTGGGGGGGGGCCATCTGTCACACACTGTAGGAAATTTAGCGGCACCCCACACAAGTCATGACAACCAGAGATGTCTCAGGATACTGCCAAATGTCCCCTGGTGGCAAAATCACCCCTGGCTGAGCACCCTGAGTTATGACAACTGCTGTCCAATGCAAACCTTCATTCCACCACACAGCACATGGGACAGATGCCACGTGGTAGCCCACATCACGCGTCTCTTTCTACAAAAACTCACAGAACGTTTCAAAGATCTGAAGACAGTTCCATTATAACATTATCAGTTCTCCTATCTTTTACAAAAATAAACAAAAAAATCAAAACCATATTTCTATCTTGCCATAGTCTAACTTGGTCAAAAACCAAACACCACCAACAAAAAACCCTTCCATTCCTTTGCTGTGACTGTTTTCAACTAATATGATATAGTGGCTAATTGTCAGATTATGCAGGAACCAGAATGCCTGGGTTTGAACCCAGGTCTGCCACTACCAAGCTTTGTGACTTTAGTGCATGATAAGAATACGCACTTGCCGGGCTCGGTGGCTCAGCCTGTCATCCTGCGCCTTTGGGAGGCTGAGGTGAGCGGACTGCCTGAGCCCGCGGGTTCGAGACCCACCTGGGCAGCGAGTGGCCACTGCACTCCAGTCTGGGCGACAGAGTGAGACTCCAACTCATAAAAAAAAAAAGAATATGCACTGCAGGCTCCTAAAGTCATCCAATGGGTTAACAAGCAAGCACAATGTTTAGTCCATGCCTGGCAGTGACTTACGCCGCTACCGCCGTGGCTGCTGGGGCAACCTAAATGCCACAAGACCGGCAGCAGGACCCACGGAGCTCTGCTGCAGCCCCACTTCCTGCCACAGAGGACACCAGACTGTCACAAGAGAACGAAGCCAAGAGGCAGTGCAGAGACACAGAACGTGTCCTGGGCCATTCACTTCCACTCACTCCCAAGTGCCCCTGCTACCTCCCTCAGTTCAGCAGCTTGGGTCTCCTCTGGCCTCAAGATACCCTCGTTTCTTTAACCTATGTCCACTCCTTTGAGCCATTTTGCTGAGCTGCATTTCTGCTATGGCATCTAAAAGTCTAACAAGATTTTAAAGTTTCAGATGAATAAGTAAATTTGATATGAAAGATACCAAAAGATATGATTTCTAAACAGATTATATAAAACTTGACCCAGCCGGGCTCAGTGGCTCAGCCTGTCATCCCGCGCCTTTGGGAGGCTGAGGTGAGTGGACTGCCTGAGCCCACAGGTTCGAGACCCGCCTGGGCAGCGAGACCTCATCT